TGCATAAGAATGAATCCACTAGGGTTAAGAGAAGGATAGAGGGAAAATGAATGTTGTCAAAATGCACAAGGGAAAGATAGAACAGTCAATTAGAGGCCTGTATATACACAAGGGGACTTAATCAAGCTGTAAGGGGCATCATGGCTGCATGCAGATGGCTAATGCCCGTGGATAGCCTCCCTGCAGCCTATTAGTGCTCTGCCGGGCCATTTCCAAACACACTTCCTGACAGCGTGACAGTGTGACTGATGGCAGCCTGCTGGAATACTGCTGGCCGGCCCTGATGAAGCGATAGTGCTGTGTGTGTGAAGTACAGATATGAGGAGTATTTTCTTTTTGACTTGTTTGTCTCTCGGAGGACACAACTTCTTACCAAGTGTGTTGTCCTTGCTGCCTCGGCTTATCACTATATGTCAAACGCGAGTCAATACGGGGAAAAAAGCTTTAATTTGGGCCTTACCCTAATATCATTGCAGACAAAAGGTGCTAACCCGTAACCGAAAGAAAGAAAAAAAAATTATAAATTGAGCTTCCCGCTAATGGTCCTAATTATAATGTTATGGGACTGTGAGAACAAAGCTAATGTTATTGGGTTTGAAACGGAGGGAGTTCTTTCAGAGGCTATGAATAAAATGCTAATGATAGCATTTGGGATGTACTCTAAAGAGCTATGGGGGCCTAACGGTCTCCTCTAATGAGCCACAAAGAGAGACACAAGCGTGGCAAGAGACCATGATCAAATGTATGGGAATATGCATTAAAACTCTCCGTTGGCATGTTCTCTAATGTTCTCTGCCTGTTCTGTCTTTCAAGCTTGTGACGGCATTCATGACTTGAGTTCACAACATCTCAGTAATGGCGTAGTACAATAACTTTCTCTTGATTTCTCTTCTTTAGTTTACACTTTTGATCATAAATCTTGGGGCTATTAAATCTTTTAATTAAAACATGTTTTAAAGACAATGTTATTATCTGAAATATAAAACCGCTGGAGGTTTCTTAAAGATCTACTGGAGAAAATATCTTCATTGCAAAAAATCAAGGAATCTGTCTTTGAATCCTAAAAACGCACTCATTTTCAACCAATTCATCATTTCTTAACGTACTTAGGAATGTTCCAACATGAAAGTGTAATTTCCTCTTATTAGCGCATTGATTTAATTTTGTCTTTTTAAAGAAAATGATTAATTAAATATTCCTGAAACAAGAGGAACTGCTCTGAGGACACGTGAAATCACCTCGTTCCAAAGCCCTAATTCTTCTTTTCCTATTACAGAATTGAAACTTAATTCAACCAGGAAATCAACTTTAAAGTCAGTTTTAAAAAGTGTTGAGATAGATATTTTCTAAGGCGTATTGAGCATTCAACTTGAAATGTCAGTAAAGGGCTCTGTGCATTGCTGCAGGACGAATATCCAATGATAATATGTCTTGCTTGTATGCAGTCAGGAGCCTTCATGTCTTGAGGGTAATAAATAACCTTGTGGTACGCTCTAGATTGGGCAAACATCTCACCATTTATTTCCTATCTAAAGCTGCAAACATTTTTAGAATGTTTTTCCATTGGAGCGATCAGAATACTTCAATCAGTCACACTAAAAAGGGCAGTTTACAGCAGCTGTAAAGTCAAGAAAGCAGAGACCTGTACTTTTTTGTTTGGCAGGCAGATAGTGTGTGTGTGTGTGTGTGTGTGTGTGTGTGTGTGTGTGTGTGTGTGTGTGTGTGTGTGTGTGTGTGTGTGTGTGTGTGTGTGTGTGTGTGTGTGTGTGTTCTTCTCAGTGGGAGTGAGGTCCAGAAGGGATCACAGGGAGATGAGAGTTTTATTGAATTGAGGTGTCTAGTTTTCTGTAGGCAGACGAGTGTCGGCAATGATAGGTGTCTGCCGACCAGTTCCGCTGCAAAGGTGGAGATTCATGTCAACTAACAGCCAATGTAATAACACTGTTTGTTGACTCATTTGCCTTTAAATGTGTACTATTCGAGGGAAAAGTGAACTTGGTGAGTGATGAAACAGTAATGTAAAAACATGATAATAAATGATAATGGTAAAAATACATTGCTACAGAGAAAGTAGCACAAGTTAGCATTTTGAGAATAAAATGCTAATTATTTTAGGTTCAAAATTATTGCTTTAGAAATAAAGTTAAACTCTATAATGTTTCCTTGAATTAAATAGAAACAACGTAAAAGAAACCCTGTTAAATTGAACTAACATTTTTTCAGTCTAATTCCCCATGAGAGAAGTGGCCCAGTCCTTTCCAATCTCTCTTGATAATGTGATGTTCAGCGATCATCAGCGCACGTTTACAGCTGTTTGTCTGAGTGAGAATCAAAAGCAAATCTTGATTGTTGGCAATGGAGTTTTGTTTGTTGCTGATTCACATTGCTGTACAATTAGTGAGGCGTGTGGCACAGTGGGCTAGTGCGTTGGTGTTGGGATCAGCGGGTCACAGGTTTGAACCCCACTGCAGTCGGCATGTCATTGTGTCCCTGGGCAAGACACTTCAACCCAAATTCTTCCTGTGGGGATTGCCCACAGTATTGAGTATGTAAGTTGCTTTGGATAAAAGCGTCTAACAAGTGTAATGTTTTTTTTTTTCTTTCATTACTCGGTCAGTTACAGTATGGGCTACTTTAGCATTCTCTACATGTCTAACACTCATATGACTCCAATAAAGTTGTGATGTCAGAGGTTGTAATTTTGTCTCAATACACATTGTATTTGTTTGTATCAAAATGGTTTATCCATCTTATTTTGGACTTTGGCAGTATCTTACGTAATTTAGGAAAGTTTATTTCAAATGCATCCTTGTTGTTTGCATTTCTTATTCGTCTTTTTGTTGATTGAAAAACAATTCAGCTTTGACAACATTGAAAGTTCAAGATGTAGTCACTGAGTTTAATGGCTGCTCTTCTGACCAGACACCATCAGTTAGAGGTGAATTGCTGCCTACTCAAATTGTCATAATAGAAGTTAAAAAAGGGGTCGAGGACATTCGATTTTTAGGTGGCCATTAACGGCGAGGAACAATTAAAACTTTACTTATCTCTTTGCAGCATACTAAGTGGTTTCCCTTTGATTTCCGAAAAACAATTTACATTGTCATTATAATAATACAATTAGCATTTTTAAGCCACTTGCCAATGCACCCATGTTTGGACTTTCTAAATCCAAACTCAATTAACTTCTCAGTCAGCACAGTCTGAGAGCAGTGTTAACCAGATTACTGGCAATTAAAAAGAGCAAGCTTTGTGTTAAAAATATCGGGGCTTGGCTTTTTAAGGGAAACTAATGTATTATAATAATAATTCTGCCATGCTTTCTTCTATCACTATTCATAAAGAGTGGATATGTTCCTTACTGTGCAATTCGGAGGTCAAATGCTCACAACGAGACAATAAGAGAGGAGATTATCTAATGCACATATTCATTTTCTTTTCATATTGTGGGAGAATGCAGACTTTAAGTGGAATAATTATAAATGTATTTGTTCTCCGACTAGTGGCAAGACACGTTGCCTAGTGACCAGCACATCTATAGTCCTTGGAAATATACAGTACAGCACTGTGGGTGTTAAAGTTGGTTATCTGCTTTACCTGCTTACAAAAGTATTAGAACTTTATATGATATCTTCAATAGATGATAAGCATTCAGTTATAAGCCTTTGTTTAAAGTCTCTCAATCTCATAAAGGGACAGTCATTTGTGCAGTATACATACGTAGTTGCATTAAATTAGTTTTGACGTGTGTGACACCTAGATGTCAGAAGGCATCAGTATCTTCTCCGCTGATGCTCTGCTTTTGGCTCTTTGCCTTCTCGTCTTTAGCAAGTGAAAAACATGCTTGGTTGGATTTAGGACATCTGACTCACTCCGCCAGTCAAAAGCATTCCAGTGTTTGGTCAGAAAATGATCCTTGGCTGCCTTGTCTCTTTGCTTAGGATCATTGTCATAGGGCTACTACAGTATAAGGACATGAACCTCCTCAAAAACCACATGAAACTCTTGGCTTTGATCTAATAGTCATTGTTATATTTCAAAACCAATGTGGTGAGAGGTCTTCCCATGTTCACTTGCTTTATACTGTAGAACCTGACTGAAGTTATATTTAGATAATATTGTTTGTTTGATCTGTTATGATGATATGTTGCCGCAAATCCAGTGGATTTACTGAAGTACACATTGAGGTTCCTTTAGGTTTTATGTGACTTTATACTTCTTTTCTACTACGGAGACACTACTTTTTACTCAACAACAATTATTTGACTTTTATTGCTTTTGTAACTAGTTTGATAATTGATGTTTTTACTATTGTAAGGAGAAAAAAGGCGTCGTCAAGGTGATATAATTATCTTTGTGTTATTGTGAAAGCAGTTCTCAAAATACTTTTTCTCAACATTTGCATTCAGTCAGTTGATGAATATAACATATTTTCAGGCAATGTTTCCATAATACAAATAAGGATTAACTTTCTCTATAGGCCCAGGTAGTTGTGTTGACTATTCATTGCATAGAGAAAACGATTATTGTGAAGGTGATTTAATGAGCTCTTCGTTATTGTGGCAGCAACAATCAATTGATTAAGGAAGAATATTATCAGGGAATTGTAAAATTATAAAAAAAGTAATAATTAGCTTCTCTATAGGCCTTGTGAGTAAGAGCCAGGTACACCATCAGTAGAATATATTTAGCTTTATGAACCACTGAGCAACTTTCTTGGGAACAAAAGGGTCCCCAGCTCTATTTCTGTACCCAATTTTTCTTTTTTTCTTTATTCTACTATTTCAACAATTAAACAATTTATCCATCCGAAAAACAAACAAAACTAGTAGAAGCGGGAGGGCAGAAAGCATAGCTTATACAGAGGTAGCCCTACCGTTAGTCATCCATTTGCAGGATAAAGAAAAAAAGATAATTCGGTAATTAAATACCCACACTTTCTCTTTATACGTCCACGTTGCATTCACAAAAACTCCCACAGCTCACCCCCCACTGCTCACCATGGCCAGCGGCACGATGCCCCCCAGGTCCTGCGATGCCAGGCGGATGAGAGTCGGCACCTCACTGGTCAGGGTACGGGTGAGGGGGTACTCCACCTGCCACGTCACCTCCCGTCCCCCCTGAGTCACCACCAGCCCGTTCACCTCCAGGTCCACCTGCAGCACCCGCTGGTAGCCCGGTGCCTCCGCCCTGCAGGGGGGGCGGGGGGGAAGAAGATGTGTGTCAGGAACAGTTTGAGATAAAGAGAGAGTGGCAGGAGGCGGGAGATAAAGGAGGATACATGCTGGCACAAGTGAACGACTGACAAAGAAATGTTCTGGGGAGACAAAAGAGATGAGAAGGTTGCAGTAAAGTGAAACCATGGAATAGTGTGAGAAAAGTACAAAAAGTTGACTATGAATGAAGAGAAGGAGAAAGATTGGAAGGAAAATGGTCTTTATTGTCCATTGACAGGAGATAGACTGAAAGATTGAGACAGAATTGTACATTTAAATCTAGCTTAAAGAGAATATAACACAAGTATTTATTTATACAAAATGATTTCATTGTGCAGATGCTGCATGGGGATATGCTTTCTTTTAGTCAAAGTATCCCTCATCTCACTATCTGATATGAAACTCATTTTGGGGGGAGACAACATACTGTAGATAAGAAAGTTGCAAAGTAAAAGTCAAGTGAAACCATGGAATAGTATTAGAAAAGTATGTGGAAGGAGACAGATGGAGGGAAAACAGAAGGGAAATGGTCTTTATTGTCCATTAACAGGATAAAAACTGAGACTGAATTATACATTTAAATCCGGTTTAAAGAGAAACACAAATCTTTATTCATACATAATGATTACGCTGTGCAGATGCTGCATGTGGATATTCTATCTTTTAGTCAACGTATCCCTCATCTGGCTATCTGATGTGAAACTAATCACGGCGCCGTTGAAATTCATTCTCACATCAGAACTAACTACAAAAAAAGCAATTTATTTTTCCCTATTTTCCTACTATGGAGCTTCTCTTGCAGAGATTGCCAGGGCCAGGCGAATGATTTCAGCTGATGGAGATGCAAACAAAGCAGAGCAAAACAATGAATGCGAAATAAAATCCTCCTGACGTATTTGATTTGCTGAGCGCTGGCTTTGATCAAGCTGCTGCCTCTCCCTCAGGTGTTCTCTGTCACAGTCATAACGCCACGCAACACCTTTTCTATCAACCATACACAGATATGCAAGGTGTCTTAAAGAATACAATTTGCACTTGGGGGATGTGAAATGAGCTCATGAACTAAAGGCAAAACATATTTGTTTGTGTCCTCTGAGTTAGTATAAAGTTGTTTTCAATGTATATCATCATTTTATTAATTTCTCTCATGAGAAGTATGTTTGTTGTTTAGTTGTCACACTATTAAAACAAGCCTGGAGAGAGCCCAAACTGAGCATGAGGAAGGGGGGGTGTTGGGGGTAAGATCCAAGGTTTTCCTTAAACGTATTTTGGCCAAGCCTCTATTTAAAACCCCCACCCAACTCCCCCTTATGTGTTCAAACTTCAGACGCTAGCCTCACTTCAAAGTGCTGATTTAAAGGACCCACTCTGGTAGAAAAGTAGAAGGGAAAACAGATTTGGAAGCTGAAAACCAGCGTGGATGAAAACAGCTTGGATATCAATTCTGGGTCAAGCGGAAAAGCTCCTCTGTTTCAGTGGGTAATGTTTTGAACTTTGCTAAATGTGTTTCTTAATGCCACCGAGAAGGTTTGGCTCGAGGGCAATCAAAGCTTATTATAGGTGTTTATCTGGCCGCAGTGAGTGCTTATATGATTCTGTTCGAACACAGGTATTATACAGGTCAAGTCAATTTTATTTATCCAGCCTGATACACAAAATAACACATATTCCTCAGGGGGTTCACAGACTGTATAAAATAACACCCTTTGTCCTTAGACCCGTGCAGCATATATAAGGAACCTCTTTCCCCCTAAAAAAAAACCTCTAACCGGGAAAAAAAACAACTAGAAAGAGCAGATTGTTGGTTGTATTTGTGATATTGTTCACAATTTTTACCTAAAACACATTTGTAACACTTATATCCCCCCAAATAAACAACTTTCTCTAAAAGAAAAAAGGTGGAGGGAGTTGATATTTTTGTTATTGTCAATAAAATCCCATGATATTGACAATAAATTACTGTTCCATGGAGCGCCATTATTGTCAAAAAAAATACACAAGTCGAACCCAATGTTGTATGATCTTAACATACACCGCCCTGATGCTTTATATACTCATTAGTGCACCAAATGTGTATTAATCCGCTGCTGAAAATAGTCCCAGACAAATGCAATATTAACTCCTGTGTGAACAATGCTTGTTAAAACCTACTGTGCACTGCCGCTAACAGATATTACAGAACCTTTTTTTTAATGAAACTCTATATATAGTACATGTGACCTGTTTTCAAAGATATTCAGAATAACTGAATGGTCATGGGGCTGAGCACCACAAGCAGCATTTTAAGTTTTGAAACCGGCTCTCCTACACAATTTGGTTTTGGCCTTTTAATGGGATCCCTAGTCAATTCAGAGGCGTGTAATGGAATGTGTTGATAAAAACATATTTCCTGCCCTATCCTTTAAATAGAAATAGTTTTTGAATATGCAATCAAGACGTTACATACATGTTTCTGCAAAGAATGCAAGAAAATAGATATTTTTACCACACTCACCATCCCATCATTCCCAAACAATCCAGACTAAATACATATCTCTATCTAAGTGTAAAACTGTAAAAATGATTAGGGAAAAAATTGTGAAAATAAAAAGCCACATATTTCCATTGCCAAATATTTCTGCAACATTTGTTGACAGATGACAAAATTATTGGAATAACAGAAAAAATTATGTTTGCAATTTCTAATCATATTTTCATGTGGGACGCATTTCTAGGCAAATTTTGGCAATTTGAAATCCATTTCCTTTTTATGAAATTAAAAAATCTAAATCAAAACAGAGGAACTGCTGTGAGCAAAAATATCTCCAACAACAAATATTGAAGCTTTCAATTCTAAATAAATACAGCATGTTTGATGTAACTTTTAGTTGTTGGCTTTGGGTCAATAGCTTGCCGTAGATCGAGTCCAGCCATTGTTCTCGTTTTCTCTTCAGAGATTGAGAGTGCTTCAGAGGCGCTGTGGGGTTTCCTCTGCTGCCTGACGCCATGCTGGGCTCAGGGGCAGCGACTGCAGTGATTATGTGCTTTACGCTTATGGTCTACAATCAATTATATGCAACAGAGTGTTTACAAAGGAGCTGCAAACAATCAGAGCGTAAGTGCTGAACACTACAATACAAGTACAACGCCTCTTCACTGCCTATTTAATCAGTCTTTTTCTGTTTTTCTCTTGTCTTATTTGCTTTCTTGTCTGCCCTTTTTCACTTACCTGCAGTGTCATGTTGCTCCCAATAGAGGGCAGTTTTCTCTCACCCTCACCCGTTCCAACAGCTTGTGTTTGAGATGATGAATGCTTGCATCCCACTGATAGTAAAGGACAGCCTACTTGCTTTTTGCTAACCCTTTTCTTAGTGAGATTTCCTTTACAATTCAATGCACCCACTGGCAACTGTCACTCCTCTGCCTTCAGGTGGACGCATAAACAAAGGCAAAACAAAGAACGGAAAGACATTTAAAAGGGGTTCAATAAAAGCAAAATGTCTACCGAGATAACAGAATTGACAGTGCCACTACAAAAGCCAACATTGACAATACCCCGGTATCATAGCAGTTGTGTTGTGCGGGAAAATCAGTCATGTCACTTTAAGGTTTCTCCATTTGTCAGTCCTATTGTTGGTGAAAGCACAACAAGAGAAAGGTAAATGTATCCATTTAGGGGATAAGGCGTTCAGAAATATTTCAAACACGCCGTTGTAGTAACAAAAGGGCTCTGAACAGCAATAACAGGAAAAAAAATCACAAGAATGAAATTCCTTTTGATCGAAAACAGGGAAATAAAGGGGAGCAGAGCAACACAAAAGCCCCGTTAAACATGCGGCCATGTTTTCCTCATTTCACTCTTAACACCTCCGTGGGTATCTGGCTCTGAGAATAGGTAGAGAAAGAACAAGTCTGCCGTCTCTTTTGGAGACCCGAGGGGTTTACTTTCATGCACAGCGGTGATTTTAGCACTGACAACAATGATACATCAAAGACCTGAATCTTCTTCAACACAGACATCGACAGCGCGTCCAACAATAGAGGAAGGGAGGGAGACAGGTTGTGTACAGTTTGTAAGAACACCTCAAAAGCTCAGTTTAGGAGAAAGAGGAGGGTTATTTTGTCAATAATGGGAGTCAGAAGACGACGGTTTAACTTCAAAAACTAATTTTCTCAGCCAGTGTGAGGACATGCTACTGTATACACTTAACTAACAATGGTTGCCCATGACAATTTTTTGTTTTGTCCGGGTCAGATATTTGTGCTGGATTTTCCTCTTAGTCAGAGTTGTTTGTTTGTTGTGCTGTTTGTGATCTTGACACACACTTTTTTCAGTCTGTGTGTTGACTGAGGGTCAGACAAACAAGAGAGGAGGAGATCTGTGTGAAAGTGCATTCCAAGAATTTCTTTTTGCAGATGCATTCCAATGATTCCAAAACAATGACATTTCATATTTCCTAAGACTTCTTCTGTGTTGCTGTTCATTTATCAGCAGATGGATTAATTGGTGTGGCACAATGTCTGCTGTTGGCAGTCTTGATATTTTCCTCATTAGTCTCTGAATGAAACAGTTCTGACTTTGTGGCAATTTTCTGATTTTTTTCAATTATTTTAAAGTGGTAGCAAACAAATGTTCTCACAGTAATGTCCCCTAAAGACTGGGCTGTGGTATGTTTGGCATTTTAGCTTAAAAATATACTTTTTTTTTTTTGATTAAACATACTACTTTTATCCTCCTTGGTGCAAACCGGGTGTCAACAGAAAGATTGTGCTGAAAAAACAGTACAGAATGCACAGTGTCCTTGGCCATAATGTATAATGTATCAGGTATAATACTATAATTGGAGATTAGCAGTAATTACACAAAGTAGGTGTGACGGTGGGCCATCTGTTTTTACATTATTGTATGGAAGGGCCTAGATTTGAATCTCTGCAAAACCTTACTTTCAGTTGGTAATTTATATATGTTTTATTTGAAATAATTACACAGATAAC